TTGGTACAAGCCTTCCCCATTACTTGAACAGTTCTCCTGACATTTTTCCAATAATGGCTGCTATAACTGAAATCCCCTTCTCTGGAAACAAGCTCTAAAGCACTAGCTTGAGACACAAAACATGATTAAAATATTTATCAAACACCAGCAAGAGCCTTACCTACAGTAGCTACAGTAGCAGATGCAGTTGACAGAAGAGATTTCCCCCAGCTTCCCCAGTAGCCCCACCCTGTCTGAACTGCAGGAGAACCTGAGACCTTTAATGAAGAAAAACAGAAGAGTGATGCAGGTATTATGGTGAGGAGAGGAACAAAAGCAGCCTGTGACGTGTGACTTCCGTGCAGCTTCTTTTTCTCAGAGAAACAGCAAATGTGAATTTTCAGAGAGGAGTGGGGCTTATGCTCAGAATTCTCCCATGCTCAAGGACATAAAATGTGAAGTCCCATTATTCTGAGCAAGCACAAGAACATACCTTGGTGGTTTCAGCTGTGAGCTTTTCTGTGGCATCAGGCTGGCTTGGGGGCTTGGGCTCAGGTCTTTTCCGAGTCACAGGCACAGTCTCAAGCTCTTTCTCTCTCTCTTCATTGCTCTCAGAGGAGCCGAGTTCCTCTGCTTTCTGTTCATTTTCTTCCTCATGAAAGGTTTCTTCTTTCAGATTTTCACCACTGCCTTTCTCAGACATGACTAAGAACAGCCATAGGAAGGAAAGCAGATAAAAAAATTACTCCCTTGTACACTCTGACCCTAGTTCAACAGCGTCAAAATAGTGTTTTAAATAATTAAACACAGCCACACATACCCACATGCACAGATTATGTTTTTAAGCAAGCGTGTACACCAAATTACATCTGGCTATAAGAAATGTCATACTTGGAAGTTTAAAGTCCCACAGGAACACGTGGCTTTATCTAACTGACACACCCTCTCCGCAGGAAAAAAAAAAACAGGTTGCTAACTCTGAAAAACAAATGAAGGTACAAAAGGTCCTCAGATAATGCAAAACCATGACTTGTTCCACCAAACTAAAAGCGAAAACAAATTGCTTGGGGCGGCTGCTTTGAGGAGTGTAGGATACAAATGGGGGCAGCTGTCAGGGAGCTGAGCAGGTAGGGAGGCAGTCACTGGGTCGCTTTTCTATTTGAGGCTGAGTTTTGCCAGGGCATTAACACCCCCCGAACCCGAAACGTGCTCCAGGTGCCACCCAGATGTTGCACATCGGGGTCGGGGAGCCCACGAGAGCGGGGCTGTCCCTCCTCCGGGCTGCTCCGGCAGCACCGCACCCGCTGCGGGTGAAGGGACCCGCGGGCAGGGACAGGCCGAGCCCCCGGAGCCACAGCAGCTGCCATCCCCTGCCGCAGTCCGGGCACACGGAGCAAGACGGCTCCGAGCGAAGGGCAGGGACAGCCCTGCGGGAAGGGACAGCCCTGCGGGAAGGGCAGCTCCGGCTGCGGGCTGGGGACCCCCACCCACACCTGCCCCCAGGACCCTCCACCGGGGCCCGGGTTCCACGGCACCAGGGTCACCCCACAGCCCCGGCTCACCCGCCCGGGGCAGCCCCTGCGCCCCCTGTCTCATGTCTCCCTGTGCCTCCGCTTCCCTGGCACACCCCCAAAGCCCCACGGCCCCCACACAGGGGGCTGACCCGCGTGTCACCCCCATGTTCCCCCGAGTCCCCCCGTGGGACTCTTTGCCCCAGACGCCTCCAGCCCTCCGTGGTACCGCCGGCCCCGCAGGGGGCCCACAAACCTCCCCCCCCCCCCGCCCCGTGAGGGCGCACGGAGAGCCCCTCGATCGCCCCGCGCCGCCCCCTCACCCTCGGCGGCTCCGGGCGGACCGAGACCAGCGAGGCGGGCGCGGAGCGGCCCCGGCACTGCCCCGGAAGCGGCTCCGGCGCGGGGGAAGCGCGTCCGGGCGGCGGGGCCGGAGGAGCTGCGGGACGGGCCGGGCCCGGCACCTCGTCCCGGTGAGAGCGGTGGGGCTGCCGGGGATCCCCGGGCAACGGCGGGGGCGGGGAGGCGGCGGGCCCGGATCCCGCCGGGCTGTTCTGGCGTGGAAATGGGTCGGGAACAGGGGCGGGTTAGTGGGAGGTAACGAAGGTGGTGAAGGGCCTTGATGGGAAGGCACGCGAAGAGCGGCTGAGGGCGCTTGGCGTGTTCAGCCTGGAGAAGAGGAGGCTGAGGGGAGACCTCATGGCAGTTACAACCTGCTTGTGAGGGGAAGAGGAGGGGCAGCAGCGATCTCTGCTGTGCGAGCAGTGACGGGGCCCGAGGGAGCGGGCTGAAGTTGTGACAGGGCAGGTTTAGGTGGATGTTGGAAAGAGGTTCTTCCCCCAGAGGGTGGTGGGGCACGGGACAGTCTCCCCAGGGCAGTGGTCACGGCCCCAAAGCTGGCAGAGCGCAGGGAGCGTTTGGACAACACGCTCAGGGTGGGATTGTTGGGGTGTGCTGTGCAGGGCTAAGGGACGGGCTTGATGGTCCTTGAGGGTCCCTTCCAGCTTAGATTAGGTGTCCCCCTGGCTCCAGCAGCCCATCAGGAGCAGGGATTTTCCACAAGCGATCTTGGAGCATGCAGAGCTGGACTGTGGGTTTCTGTTCTATGGGCCTTTGTGCCCGATCGTTTTTAGCTGACAGAGCAAAAAAGCCCGTTTTGGTGCACAGACAGTGCCGTGTCCGTGGCGAGTGACCCCTGTGACAGGGTCACACAGGGAAACACTGCATCCCATCAAGTGCGAGGCTGGCCCTGGTCTCCTGTGGATTTGGATTTTGGGTTGGATTTTGGGCTGTGGGTGCTGCTGCTCTCCTGCAGAGCCTTGGCTGGCTGCCAGCAGAGGGTGAGCCCTCCCTGTGCCCTCTCCTGCACTGGGAGCACCCGGAATGGCTTTTGTCAAGACCATGCTGTCTGTTTTCATAAACTTCCCCGGAGTTATAATGTGCAGGGCTCTGCCAGCTGCATCTCCCTGGTTTGACAGGGGGTCAGTGGGGCCTTGCAAATGGTATTTCTGCAAGGCATCACGGTGCGAGCAGGAGGGTGTTCTCCGTGCTGGAGCGATCCATTTGGATCCATCTGTGTGCACTATTCCCAGTGAGCACGCTGTAAGTGCCAAAACTCGTTTCCACGTCACATACCAGAAGTGTCAGTCGGTCAGAGCAGCCTGTGCTCTGTCAGGTGTGTCTCGGTTTTATTGCTCCACGTTACTCCAGGTGTGGAACGATGTTGTAAGGAGTCAATGTAAAGCCATATAACTTGCAACCTCTTGGGCCCCGATTTTGCAGTGCCATATAAATGTGTGTAATTTTAAGTACTACCAGCACTTCCACTGACCTCGGTGGGACTACTTAGAGTGCTCTAAGTTAAACACGAATACACTTCAGGGTAGGAGCCAAGGATGACTCATACAAGCTCATGCATCACAGATTTTTATCTTTCCACTGCTATTTGTTG